AGTAACACTGAAAAATGTAAATACAATAGAGTGTAATTTAAGTCGAAATAAAATTATTACTATGTACCTATTGGAATAATTCTTTATAATGTTATCACCGAAAAGTAAAAGGCCTATACTTACTACGTTACGTTAATTACAAACAGTGGAAAAATTTCATGAATGTGTTACAGAATTGCCATATTATATTGAAAGAAGAATTTATTAATTCAGGTAAAATCCCGGCTTTGGCCACGTGACACCATACTAAATGAAAATAAAAAATGACCTTGGCAGTCAATACATTTATTAAATTGACTTTTTTTGGATCGAAAATAGCGACAACTTACTCCTACCTCTAGCGGTTAAGGTACGAACGATATAATCGATTTGGCTATAGCAACAGCTGTTAACCAAATACTGCATGGTTAATTAAAATTTAAAGCAACTGTACATTATAGCCGGTATACAAATTGATAGACACGTTTTTTAAGAAGGGCGATATTTTATTTTATTACACGAAATATTTTACACTTTTAAAAATCGATGATCTCTGGTTTAAAAATTAGGCTTCTGAGCTTACTAAGAGATATATAAAATACATTATTCCCAATTATGGGAATGTAGTAACTAAAGAAAAATATTTATATTTTTTAAAATAAACACGAACAGCGAAAAAAAAACACCGACATGTTAAAAATATGTATATTGAGTAATTATGGAATATCTGGCAACTGCGAAAGCGTTTGTTTCACGTGCTTTCCGAACTTTGATTCAGATTCCACCAAAGTGTATTACATAATGGAATTCGCGACTCACCACAGATATACAACCGTTTGTCGCGATTCATATTTAAGCTATTAGCTGGTCCCTTAATAAATTGACAGATGATACAAATGTACTACACTATATTCCACCAATTAAGCGCCACCTCAAATTTATTTGAGTGGAGACTAGACGGTGGTTTGTGTATCCGCGAACAATGGTTGGTGTTTAATTGTACTTTGAACGAACGAAAGTTCCCTTGTGAATTTTGATTATGGATTCCTAGGTCACGGGTTAGATGGCTAGAAGGCTGTCTGGTTAGTTCAACATATATTGCGAAACAATGCGGGGATGATACTACTAGAATCTCGGCTTTCATCGCACAGAGACTTTGGCTTTCCATAAATTATCAAACCAATATATTTTCAGTGGCGGATCATACAAGGGTAACATCCTTCTCCAACTTTAGAGATAGGAACAACCGATCTTTTAGGCCACAGTGTATCTGACACCCCTTAACAAAACATAACCTACTGAGATTATGTAGGTGATGTTTGAACGATATAATTTATCAGTTTTCATGGACACAGTTTGAACACAATATATTTCTTTAGCTAAGCTTTCAGTAAGGTACCAATAGTTAATCTGGAACAAGTTGGCAAATCTTCTTAGCTAGAATGCCCTACAGGAGTTTTTCAGTTTGCTTTAATAATATACCAATTGCTTGTACCGAGTATTTGATAAAGTGTTGCCAGCGGCTGTATACATCGTAGAATTTTATAAAAAAAGATTTAAATGACAGAAATGGTAAAGAAAAATCATAGCAAATTATTTTCAAGTTCCTAACTTCGTTAAAAGAGGGAGTATTCAAATTATTGTTGTGACCGATATGTCTGAGCATCATTTTTGCATGTTGTTGAGTTAATATTCTGGAGACTATAATTTATTGACTACCCAACAAATATTTTCCTATATAGTAGCATTTCGTTAGAGGCCTGGAATCTGACATTGATGTCGTTTTTTTGTCAAAATGGAAGGCAGAAGACCGTCGTCACTTTATCTGCAATAAGTAGTGAAAGGCCAGCAAATGGCCAACAGTTTCTTATAATATTAATGATAACTTCCATTCAATGGGCTCACCTAGGGCTCCTAACTTTACCAGGCATAGGTAGTGAAAGGTCTGCACATAGCAAGCAGCTTCTTGTTAACTTGTCTTCAATGGGCATGCATATGGCTCGACACTTTACCAGCAACTAGTAGTGTACACTTTGACAGTAGTTTAACGCTTTCGCTTCCCAAGCTATAATGCCAACTATACGTTCTGGCCCATCGGTATACGAACATTTAGACGTTTGGACGTTCATTAACGTCATGGGCCATGCACAATGAAAATCTAAAAATGTATTTTGGGGAATATCTATTATATATACAGGGAGATTATAAATACAGGCAGAAGTTAACACAGAAAGAGAAAAGAATATAGACCTCTATAGTCTCTATAGGATGTCAAGCACTGATGTCAAAGAAGTATATTACCGGGCCTCTGGCTGACGGTGTACCTATAAGTTCATTTATCGATCTAGGTAGTCAAGCACTTCATGAATGGTTGACCCGAAACGATAAGTTCTCGAAAGCCTGTCTAGGAGTGGAATAAATGAAGAATTAATAAATCGAAAGAAGTAGGGTATCCAAATGGTGGTACAATTAGCAAATGAAGCTGCAGCCACCATGTCAAAATCTTGTAGGGAAGGCTGGACCATTCAAGGCGGAGAGTCAAAAACAATCAAGAGTAATTTAAAAGGAAATCTGAAAGGATGAAAAAGACGTGAACTCTCGTCGTAGTTCTATACAGGCTGTCAAATTAATGCATAATTGCTTGATATTTATATTATAAATAATGAATAAATGAATAAAATGAATAAAAGTATGTGGATTTGAAAAAAATATAAATTAAAAACATTTTTAGATATACAGGGTGTTATGCTTTTGCCTGAAAATTAAAAACATGTTTTTAAATGAAATTTTATTTCAATTTTAGAGTGGGATGGAAATACTGTATTGATCACTAGAATATAAGGACCAAGCTTTGATGAAAGAGTTTGTTCAGTTTATATATATATATATATATATATATATATATATATACAGGGTGCCCCTTCAGTAGGTAATTGATCGATAGATATTTTAGTATTGGAAATATGAAGAAATGTTTATTATAAAAGTTGTAAGACCATGTTTTACAATTATTCTTAAATATACATGGTAGTCTATAAATGCCGCGAAAACCAGACAGATTGTTTTTTAAACGAAACACCCTGTAGGTACTTACGTCTTACAGATTTGGTTGTTTTCACATAGTTTTATAATTTTAATAGACTAAACGTTCCTATAAAAATGTTTAACATTTCCATTTATTTGCTGCGATACATACAGGGTGTGTCTAAACTTGAGGTTACAATATTCTCAATTTTTTCAAATATATCCTGTGTGTTATACCACCAACTTATAAATTAATTTATTTACTTTTTTTTGTTTTGTTTGGCATTCTATTCTCTAACTAATTTTTTTTAGACGGTTTTACCATTAAAAATTTTTCTAATTGGCTTTTGAAAATATGAACTTATTTAGGATAAAATGCTAATGTAATTTTTGGAAACCCATTTGTCAGAATTAATGAATGGTTTTCTATTTCTTCGACGTTACAAGTAATATGAACCATTGTAAACAAAATTTAAAAATAAATTTAGGCTCAAGAATGACAAACAAAATAAAAAGTAAAGAAACTGAATTATTAGTTAATTAAATTTGTGGTGTAACATACAGGGCATTTCATTTGAAAAAAAAAAATAAGAAAATCGTAATCTTGCGTTTTGGCACACCCTATATACAGCGTAGCAGGCGAATGGAAAGTCAAAAGATTTTAAGAAACGTTAAGTCTATTAAAATTGTTTGACGATGTGAGAACAAATAAATTTGTCGTACAAGGGGGTTTTAATAATTTTTCCACCACTCATTTATGAACTTTCGTGTATACTTAGGAATAATTTTAAATTAGGGTCGTCCAACTTAAAAATGTGTTAATAATAAAACAGCTATCGATCAATTGCTCACTGATGAGACATCCTGTATATGTATAATAGGCTAACATGATGATATCGTTAGATAGGTAAAATGAAGTTAAAATTACCCATATTTATGAGATATTTCAAAACCCTCTGTATAAAATAAACTAGTTGTATCACGTCTATTCGTTAGTCTGGTATCTTATAAGCCTGAATTTTAAATAGTGTTCAACTCATTGATAAGCTACTTAAATTCTGGTAATTTTATTTGGGATCTGTATCATTTTATATCACAAAAAATGTATTGCTTCGCAACCCTGTAATACCTTTAAAAAATATTCTAGGGTTTAATACAGTATTGCCTAAGAATTCTAAAACTGAGCTAAAATACAGTGTTCCATTTAACAAATATATATCATTACTTTCCAAGCAAAAGCGTAAACACACTGTATATCCATAAATATTTTTGTATTATGTGTTTTTCAAATCCATGTAACTTTTACTAAAGACTTGTTTGCGTGTCTATGTTACAAATTGAAATATCGAGCAATTGGGTTCATCATTTAATTAGAATCTCTTAAAGCCTTGCTATGTTAACATATCAAAACCAAATTTATAATTCACTAATTTAAGAACGTTTTCACATGGGGTTATAAAGACAATTCACTGCATAGCGGCTTGCTTGTCTACATTCATCGAAGCATACATCTTCAAATGACGATACAAAACGTCATGGGCATGAGAGAAAGAACTAACATGATATGGGCACCGAAAAAATGTTAATATTCAAATACTCTTATAAAAATGTTGCCGAACTTTTATAGGGTGTGTCCTAAGGAATCTATGGCTAGCGGTTTGGTCTACTTTTTTGGGACACCCTGTATATATGATGGCCCGTTAAATAAATATTTACACATACTGTTAAAATTAAATACTTCGTATTTGAAAATAATTTTAAAATGTGTTGCCTATACAATTTTCATTTTTAAATTTTAATAATTATATTAATATTAATAAATGGCAGATATATTGAACTTTGACACACTAATGCGTCATCCTGTATGTTTGAGAGATTGGTTGGGTCACCATGTAAATGGATGCACGGGCCGCGAGTATAGGCCTTGAGTTTCCCTCACCTGTGATTTGATGAAAGTGACCGAGTAGGTACAGGTACGACCGACGGATAGCATGGCAATTGACAAAGAACTAAAGAAGTGTTGATGCAAGTGATGGTGGTCGTGGTATAAACAGTAGTGCACGAAACAAATGTGTGATAAATTTGGTTAAAAATGCCCCGAAAGTTATTGAAATTCCTCATCCTATTCGATAATACGTCTCTACTGTATTTTCCCGGCCAGTTCTTATCCGGCAGGGTCCTTATTGAACTTCAGGATGATACACCTGCACTTGGTAAGAATATTTGATCAGCCCTGTCAATAAACGAATGTGAACTGTCAGTCTCTTCTTATAACTCATTACTACATCAGTTACATTCAATGTCATCTCCTGAATTTTAAAAATGTCATGAAACGCGATTTTAACCTAACCATAAACTCATGACAAGCTGGCTGAATTAGACACACACAGGCAGGCAGATTCGGCATACCTGTATAAAATAATTACTTCAATCTTGTTTTCACTTTTTGAAAACTAGTTGAAATATTAACATCTACATTTCTGACCTAATTAATTTACTTTTTAATATTTTACGTTTGAGGTTAGTTAGCTTAGCAAATATGACAGCTCTTAGAACTTGAAATAATAGTAACTGACTTCCATTACAAATTTATTGCCTGCGTGAAATTTTTATTTTTCATCTGTGTTATCAGTAGTTGATTATTTTTTGATGCTTCACTTTTTATCGTAAAAATATACAGGGTAGGTAAAAACTAAAACAGTTTATTAGTTTAGAGGTTTGCCCCTATTTCAGCAATAGTGGATGAATATATATATTCTGGGAAAAAACTATATGTACCATGTTTTTTTTTATGCAGTAGTTTAACAAATAGTTATAAATTGAACTAGTTAAATACTTATACTTTTACCGGAACACAAATTCTAATAAATTGCTCACTGATAATAACACAAACAATCAAAATTAAGAAAATTCTTGCTATTCACAGTTGGCTAGTTATTTTTATTTTGAATTTATTCTGATTAGCTAATAAGTTTCTGAAAAAAAAATAATAAAGCAGAAATTTTTCAAAATTAAAATATCAGATAACCGATTTTTCCCTGGTTGAAAACCATCTATGAGGTGCCATATTTGGCACCAAAGTCCAGAATTCCCTCTAATTTGCATTTGGAATTGACATTTTCCAAAACTAGAGAATCTAGGGATTAAACCACTAAGAATGTAGGAGTACAAAAAGGAAAATTAATGAGGATGTGAGGATATATGAAGATGTATGAGAATATATGAAGATGTATGAGAATATATGAGGATGTATGAGAATATATGAGGATGTATGAGGAAGTATGAGGACATATGAGGACATATAAGAGTTTAAACGAACTAAATTTTTTTATCAAACGTATAAATAAAAAAATAATAAACACTCACCACCACATGAAGTCAACGATGTTCCAACCTGCCTCCCATCTCTCCCATCGAAGGTCCTTGCTTTTCGTTCCAAAAATCATTTTTACGCGTCAACCGGTATATTTAATTCCGGGTATCTTCTGTTCCCGGCGACGAGCTTGCATTCTAACCTCAATTAGTCAACGTATCATTCCGTTTCAATAGCAAGCCTTCAATGCTTCCAGGATAATATTAAACTCAAAATTTTTTATTTGGATAACCAAGAAATTACATCATTTTGTATTTTTAATGTAGCTTTGCAAAATACATCAGTAAGCGGCATATAAATTTTAAAAATGAAGTATTAAATGACAATATGTATACAAGGTGTTTAAAAAAACACGGCTGATAGAATTGAATGGTTTGATTAATAAAAATATATCTTAAGGCCCTCAATTTTTATATTACATAATATTTACCGTAACTCAAATTAATAGATAATTTTTTGAATGCCCAGTATTTTAGTTATTAAATTAAAATGGTTTTTTATAGAGATGTTTAAGAACTATAGCACTTAAAAATAATAAAGAGTTGTACCAATTTATATTAAACAAATATTACGGTTTTTTCCAAATAAGTTCATTTGAGTTTAATAAAAATCGTAAAACCATCGCCGGCGAGTATTTCGCAGCCTTGTCCGTTCGATCTGAGCAGAATTTACACCTTCGAAAAACTAAAAACTGCAGAATCATTTTCCAATAAAATACTTGTTCCACAGAAAATAAATTCGAAAGGTATAAAATTCTGAAGATCCAACGTCTTTATTGTCAGATGAAACGATCACAAATACACCACATCGTCGATGTCTATGCAACAGAAGACAGAAGACTGCACACGTGTCGCACAGACATAGACGATGCCAACAAACAAGAGTTGCCTTACGAAAAAAACTCATTTTAAAACCGAGTAAAATTGATGTATATACTAGCAACTCCAGCATACTCCTACCCGTTACATTTTTCGGACTAACAGCGATTCGACACATTGATTTTAAAGCTCTGAAAAGAGAGAGAAAGCAAAATTAAATATAATTAAGTATTAATTAAAATTTGAATAAATAGAAAAATAAATTTGGTATTCGGGTGGTCACATTGTATATATTTTTTTAATATATCACTATTTCCTCCTCTAAAACGGCACGCCATTGATATAAATATAAAAAAAATTGTATGTCAAAATAATTATATTATGTATAAATTCTTTGCCAGTTAAGTATAGAGTCAGCCAAAAAGTCATGACGAAACAATGTGGCTTTTACTTTAATGGAACAGCCTGTATATTTTTCCATAGTTCAATTCATCAAAATGTTTTTTAGAATGTTGAGATGAATTCAAGTATGAACTGATTTCTTTTATACAGAGTGTTTTGAAACATGTCTTAAATATGGCTAATTTTAAGTTCAATTTACTTAATTTTGTCTAATGCAACACACTATATTATTTTCGCATAAAATTCCTTATGAATTTATCTATCCAACGATACCAACATGTCCCAATAGCTGTTTTATTATTGGAAATAGGAAACAAAAATATTATAAAGTTATATGATCATGTTTAATAAATATTCTTAAATATACAGGATGGTCCATAAACGAGGGGCTGACCAAACTTATACATTTTTATATTTAATTGTTTTCACATCATCAAATAGCTTTAATAGACTTTAATTTGCTATGTTGTACACAGGGTGTTTCAAAATGAGGGGTAACGATTTTCTCATTTTTTAAATGGAATACCCTATATGTCATACCACCAATTAATTATTACAGGGTATTCCATTTAAAAAATCGTAACCTCACGTTTTGACACACCCTATATACAACATAGCAAATGAATGAAGTCAATTAAAATTGTTTGACGATGTAAAAACAATCAAATATGTATTACTACCTGCAGGGTGTTTTGCTTTAAAAAAGTATAGATTTTGTCAGCACTTCGTTTATGAACCACCCTGTATATTTAAGAATATTTGTTAAATATGGTCATACAACTTTAATAGTAAACATTTCATCGTATTTATAATAATAAAACAACTCTCGGTCAATTATGCACTGATGGGACACCGTGTATATGTGTTATTGACATTGGTATTGTTACATAGGCAAATTTATAGGGAATTTTATGCGAAGATAATATACAGTGTGTTGCATTTAAAATTAGCCATATTTAAGACATGTTTCAAAACACTTATATAGAATAAACCAGTTGTATCACCTCTATTCGTTAGCTCAGTATTTTATATTATATTATAGTATATTAAAAAAATTTGAAATAAATATAAACAGAGGCGGCTCGTGAACAACATTTTGGGGGTTCACGGTAGCAGAATATAGATATCGGTACAGATGTAGGTAAAAAACTGTACAGTGTTTGAGGAAGGTATTATAAACTTTCTAAAACACTGAAAGTGTTTTCATACATCTATATTCTGTCACTGTGAACCCCCAAAATTTTGTTCACAAGCCGCCACTAAATTATGATAATTTAATTTGAGGTCTGCATCATTCTCTAATTTAAAAAAATATAATTGTTTGGCAAACCTGTAATATTTTTTAAAAACATTCTAGGGTTAAATACAGTATTCCTAAGCAATTCTAAAAATAAAATAAAATATATATTTAAAAAACATACATTTTTATTTGTCAGGCAAAAATGCAATACTAATTTTCAATTTGCAGGAATATTATTATTTATGACAATGTTTGAGAAACTGTTTTATTGTATTTATTTTATCTTATTTTTGTTTAATATAACGCTTAAAAAAATAATGATGTTGACTATGGCTTGGGGGGGTATTTATCCCCATTACCCCCCCTTATCTACGCCCTTGGTATACTGACCTGTTGAAATCATATGTACATGTTGCCCAGGAGATAGACGTATCCATTTTTTAAAGTAATTAAAACTGTAGTTACGTTTAATTCAGTATTTGTCTTTATTGTAATAGATTTTAAAAAACCCTAAAACTTTTGTATTTAACACTCTCACGTTAGAAGATAATTAACCGTTTCCATACATATCAGCGACTATGTATATAAAAATCAGCAGCTTGGACCGAAATCCATATAAACAGTGTCTATTTTAGTTAGCAGATGGAAAACTTTTTTTATTTATTATTTTACGGAAAAAAGGTATTCTTCATAAAAACTACTGAATGATCTAAAATACAATCATCAAATATCAATTTTTTTCAGTCGTATGCGAGGTTGGTCAAGAAATATGAATCTTGCAATCACCATGCGCTAGTTCAGTGTAATGTCATTTTGGTTCCACTGACATTTAATTCTAACCAAATTTTTAACAAAAACATCAATAAATTTGACATATACGTTTTTATTGTTTTTAGTTTATTTCTAAATATTGTTTACAGGCCATAAAAAATAGTTTAAAGATATGTAATTGGTAACTAAACGATTGTATATTTGATGTATGCTATCTACTTACTTTAGGAATATATTTATAAAAGTGAAAAAAACGATATAATTTAGGTAAACAAAACGAACAAAACGCACTCAAAAAATCTACTGTCACTTTAATTGTCAGTGGAACCATAATTACATCATCACTGAACTAGCGCATTACTAGTTGTGTATACACATAAACAATTTAGTAGTACCCTGACTTTTTTTCTGCGGACGCCTATGAGTGACATACTGCAATTCTTGACCTAACATATTTATTTTATGAATTGTACAAAATGATTTCTACATTTTGAGAAAAGTTAAAAATAGATGTAACTTATCTAGAATTACCTATAAGAATATCAAAAATGACGAAATAAGTAGGGGTTGTTATTTAAAATTTTAGGGATAGGTGCACTGGGAGTGACG